TTCTATCTCTCTCCTACTCTCCCTTTTCCTCTGAAATCAATAAAAATATATTTTTAAAAGAAAAAAAGTTATACAGGTTTTCAGTATACACTTCTATAATATGTCATCTGTATTTATCATTCTTTTGCATTGTTTTGCTTGGTTTTTTTTTGTTTTTAGGCTCTGTGAATTTCCCTGTTATAACTGGATTCACTATGCACCATAGCTTTGGGGTTGTTGTTTTCATTCTCATTTGTCTCAGGGTATCTTTTTTTTTTTTTTTTAAATATATTTTATTGATTTTTTACAGAGAGGAAGGGAGAAAGATAGAGAGTTAGAAACATCGATGAGAGAGAAACATCGATCAGCCGCCTCCTGCACACCTCCCACTGGGGATGTGCCCGCAACCCAGGTACATGCCTTGACCGGAATCAAACCCGGGACCCCTCAGTCCGCAGGTCGACGCTCTATCCACTGAGCCAAACCGGTTTCGGCTCAGGGTATCTTTTGATTTCTTTCTTGATCTTATTGTTAACCTGTTCATTGTTTATTAGCCAATTATTTAGCCTCCAAGTGTTTGTGGGTGTTTTGGGGATATTTTTGTTTTTTCAGTTTTTTTCTTGTAATTGATTTTTAGGTTCATATCATTGTGATCAGAGGATATACTTGATATTATTTCAGTCTTCTTAAATTTATTGAGACTTAATTTGAGTCCTTACATCCTAGAGAATGCTCCATGTGCGCTTGAAAAGAATGTATGTTCTGCTGCTTTGGAGTGAAATGCTCTGAAGTTATCAATTAAATTCATTTCATCTAGTGTATCATTTGTAGTTTCTGTCCTTGTTGATTTTCTGTCGGGAAGATCTATCCATTAATGTCAATGGGGTGTTAAACTCCCTTACTCTGACCATATTACTGTCAATCTCTCCTTTTTTGTCCATCAAGATTTGCTTTACGTATTTAGGTGTTCCTATGTTGGATGCATACATGTTTACAAGGGTTATATCCTCTTGTTGGGTTGCTCCCTTTATCATTATGTAATGTCCTTCTTTGTCTCTTATTTCAGCCTTTGTTTTAAAATCTATTTTGTCTTTCATAAGTCCTGCTATCCCAGCTTTTCATTTGTATGAAATAGCTTTTTTCATCTTTTTACTTTGTTTCTATGTATCTTTCATTCTGAGGTGAGTCTCTTGTAGGCAGCATATATATGGGTCTTGTTTTCTTATCCATTTAGCTATCCTATGTCTTTTGATTGGAGCATTTAATCTATCTTAATGTGATGATTGATAGGTACATATTCATTTCCATTTTATTCTGTATAACTATGTTCCTTTATTTTTTCTTCTTCTTCTTAAAGAAGACCCTTTGACATTTCTTACAGTTTAATGAACTCCTTTAGCTTGTTCTCATCTAGGAAGTGTGTATATATATATATATATATATATATATATATATATGTAAATATATATGTATGTATGAAAATATATATATATATATGTGTGTGTGTATGTGTGTGTGTATATATATATATATATATATATATATATATATATATATATGCTTAAGGGACCATCACAACCGAACGGACGACCAAACAGGCTGCATGGGGTGACCAGGCTGGCAGGGGATTAGTGAGGGGCGACCAAATAACCAAGCAGGGGCGACCAAATAACCAAGCAGCAGGCTGCGTAAAATGACCAAGCCGGCAGGGAGGTTAGTGAGGGGCGATCAAACGACCAAGCAGCAGGCTGTGTGGGGTGACCAGGCCCACGGGGGGGCAGTTGGGGGCAACCAGGCTGGTAGGGGGGGCTACTAGGCCAGCGGGGGGGGCAGTAAGGGGTGACCAGACTGGCGGGGGGGGGGGGGCAGTTAGGGGCGACCAGGCCAGCGGGTAGGGACAGTTGGGGGCCACTAGGCCAGGGTGGGGGCAGCTTGGGGTGACCAGGCCAGCAAGGGGGGCAGTTAGGGGCGATTAGGCAGGCAGGCAGGTGAGCAGTTAGGAGCCAGTGGTCCCAGATTGTGAGAGGGATATCATCCCCCAAGGGGTCCCGGATTGGAGAGGGTGCAGGCTAGGCTGAGGGGACCCCTACCCCCTGTGCACGAATTTTGTGCACTGGGCCTCTAGTGTGTGTGTGTGTGTGTGTGTGTGTGTGTGTGTGTGTGTGTGTATACGATCGAGCAGCAGGCTGCATGGAGTGACCAGGCCAACAGGGGGGTTAGTGAGGGGCAACCAAACGACCAAGCAGCAGGCTGCATGGGGTGACCAGGCTGCCAGGGGGTTAGTGAGGGGAGACCAAATGACCGAACAGCAGGCTGCATGGGGCTCAGAGAGGAAGGAAGAGGGAGAGAGAGGTAGAAACATCAATGATGAGAGAGAATCACGCCCCCCACTGGGGATTGAGCCCACAACCTGGGCATGTGCCCTTGACCAGACTCAAACCTGGGACCCTTCAGTCTGTAGGCCGACACTCTATCCACCGAGCCAAACCAGGTAGGGCTAGGAAGCTGCTTATCTTGCTTCAGTCTTAAATGTTAGCGTTGTTGGGTAGAGTAGCCTTGGTTGTAAGTCCTTTCTTTTCATCACTTTGAATATTTTGTGCTAATCCCTTCTGGTCTGAAATGTTTCTGTTGAGAAATCAGGTAACGGTCTTATGGAAACTCCCTTGTAGGTAACTGTCTTTCTCTTGCTGCTTTTAGGACTCTAATTTTGTCTTAACCTTTTCCATTTTAATTATGATATGTCTTGGTGTGGGCCTCTGTGGCTTCATCTTGGTTGGGACTCTCTGTGCTTCCTGTACTTGCGTGACATTTTCTTTCACCAGGTTAGAGAAGTTTTCAAACTTTATTTCTTCAAATAGGTTCTCAATGCCTTGCTCTCTCCCTTGTTGTTCTGGTACCCCCATGATACAAATGTTATTATGCTTGTTGTTGTCTCAGAGGTTCCTTAAACTATCCTCATTTTTTGTTGTTTTGTTTGAATGTTTTCTGCTACCTTGTCTTTCAAATTGCTGATTTGGTCCTTTGCTTCATCTAACCTGCCATTGATTCCTTCTAGTACATTCTTCATTTTAGATATTACATTCTTTCTGCCTGCTTCAATTTTATGATTTCTACATCCTTTTTTATGTTTGCTATCTCTTTAAGTTCTCACTGAGTTCATCCATTCTTCCCCTAGGTTCTTTGAGCATCTTTATAACCATTGTTTTGAACTCTTTATCTGGTAGGTTGCTTATCTCCATTTCTTTATAGTTTGTTTTTGTTTTGTTTCTTTGCCTGGAGATTTCTCCTGTTATTTTACTGGGGCATGTTTCTTTGTCTCCCCTTTGGCTGGTTTTCTATATCAGCGGTTGCCATCCAGTGGTCCACAGACCACTGGTGGTCCGTGAGGTCCAAAAGGTTGGCGACCGCTGTTCTATATTTTATGTTGTTTGTGTGTGTTGGGTAAATCTGCTAGGCCTTGCTGTTGGTATGGTGACCTTACATAGCAGGTGCCCTGTGGGGCTCAATGCCATCGTCTCCCTGGTTACCTGATCTAGGTGCTCCAGAAATGTGCCTTTTATGGAATACGTGGGCCTTCCTGTTGCAGTTGAGTCTTGGATTATTGTTGGCCCATTCATGGGTGGAGTTGACCCTTGGGCTGGCTATGAGGATCAACCCCAACCACAGTGTACCAGCTACTGTGCGTGGGCTGGCCCCACACAGCAGGATTTGCCCCAGCAACATCTTTTGTTTGCCAAGATCTCCCTCTGCATGGTCCGGTGTGTTTGTTCTGGGGCCTTTGGGAGGGAGGGACTCTGCTGCATGTCAGTGTCAGGGCAGTCTGGCCACAGGAGAGTCTGCACCGAGGCCAGGCTGGCCACAACTAGCTGACTCTTCTGCAGGCATGAGCTCTGCAGGACAGGGAGTCCGGGGAATGGGTTCGTGCACTCCCCCAGGCTGTATGGAGGGGAGTGTCCACCCAGGAAAGATGGCTTCTGTAAGCTGTGTGTACTGGCTCTTGGAGAGGATGCCTGGGTTTCTAATGGGCTCTTTTCTCTCCCTGGCAGACAAAGTCCCAACTGATTTTCATAGCCAGGTTTTATGTGGGCCCCTCTTCCTGGTCTGTACAGGGGAGCCTGGCATGGGGTTGCTGACCCTCCCTAGCACTCAGCCCCTCTGGGAAAAAGGCTCTGAGCTGCCCTCAGTGCCCATGAGGTACTCCTCAGAGCGACCTCTACAGCTGAGATAGCCCTTCAATTCTCAGTGGCCACACATGTGAGCAGGACCACCCTTTTTGCGTCTCTGCCCTTCCTGCGAGCCTGACATGGTTTCTCGTGTAAATCCTTGGTTATGAGACTTCTGTTCAGCTAGTTTTCAGTTGGTTATTCAGGTTTATTGTTCTGTAATTTAATTATAATTCCAGTTTGGACCAGGGAGGATGTGAAGTAGCTTGCATCTACTCTGCCACTATCTTGGATCCCCCAAGAAAATAATTCTTTGACAATTCTCTCTGCATAAAAGGCTGGTGTAAGGAGCTCTTTCAGGTCTTGCAAGCCTAGAGCCAGCCCTCCATCTCTCTGTGAGCGGCTATCCCAGCTTCCTCAGTCCCATTAGGGGCTTTTGACCTCTGCCCAGAGTTGCCTGTAACATCAGAGCACAAAGATTTTGTAGCTTCTACCTGGCAAAAGAGCTTTGTCACAGAGCCGGTGCGCTCTTTCTGAGAAATCACAGTGCCCTTGGTTTCGAGTTGTCCTCTCTTTATGTCATTGTACTTTATGGTGGTCTGTTATCCTAGTACCCAGGAAGAAATACACTAACCTGGAAGCTTGCTTGGGTTGTAAACTCAGGCTTGAATTAACATTTATTTAATCTGTTTGGTGTTCATTTAACATCAAAAGAACAAATGTACCTGCATCCACCCTGAGAATGGGTTTTGGGAGAGGCCAGCCCGACTGCCTATAGGTGAAGCATTAGCTGCGGGGAACTGTCACATCTGTCTGGCCACCCAGCCTTAGTGCTGACGCCTGTGCCCTTGCCTGCAGCTATCGAAGCCATGAAGAACGCCCACCGGGAGGAGATGGAGCGTGAGTTGGAGAAGAGCCAGCGGTCCCAGATCAGCAGCATCAACTCAGACATCGAGGCCCTGCGGCGGCAGTATCTGTAAGTCGGCTTCCTGCCCTTGGGAGGGTGGGGATAGCCCTTCAGGTGGGAATCAGTGCCCTTCCGGTGTGTTTGTGGGAGCCACACGGATACAGGGCCTGAGGTGGCATTGGTGGAGGCCCTGGCACTGAGGGCAGCTCAGAGCCTGAGGGGCTGGGCTAAGTGCCAGTGAGGCTCAGCAAGCCACTGGCTCTTGTGGCCCCCGTAGGTGTCTTGTCACTAAAAAGCAAACACAGAAACTAATTACTAAAGAATAAGGTGTGAAAAGGAGATTGTATAACTACTAGCCACTTTTCAGGACTGATCTCAGGCTGTCCGGGATTTATTCTCTCCATCAGCTGCTGCTGACTGAGCAGCGACGGGGGAGGAATCTGGTCTAGGGCCTGTGCCTGATGCTTCATGCTGTGCATGGGGAGGTGGCCATGCTCCTACATTTCAGAGAAGCGTGTGGGCCGGCTTCCTTTGCCTACGCAAGAGACTGGAGGGCCTGCAGCAGCGTAGCTGCTCTATTTTTCCCCTTGTAGAGCTCACGCCACTTGGAGCCTTGAATTGGTTGCTGCGAGAGCCCTGCAGAGCTAGCCTTTGCCAGGATCTTTGTGATGTAGAAGAATCAGGGTCCCTGCCTCTTCCAGGCTCCTGCTCAGGCCAGAGAGGGCCCAGGGCAGTCAGGCTGGGATGAGGGGTGGCACCCTGTGGACTGCAGTCATACTCGTCTGGGCTAGAGAGGTGACAGGTCCGCAGGGCTGGGCGGCTTGCCCTGAGGCTCCTCCTTGTGCCACCAGTGGGAGATGGAGCCCTTCCCAAGGAGTCCATAGTGACGAGAATAACACTGCCAGGCTTTGGTTTTTATGGGTCAGGAGAGCCTGGTACTGGGTTATCAGGCACAGATTGCCTCAAAAGTTACTGCCGAAAACCAATTACAAGCCTGACTTCTCTCAGAAGTAGGACATGAGTAAATGAGCTTTCTCCTGCCTTCACAAGAGAAGTGTTGTCTGTGGGCTATTGAGTTATTTGAAAGAAGACCAGAGAAGGACACAGAATAGATTTTTATGAACCTGAAGTACTTTTTAAGTTTTCTCTTACTTAGCTGGGTACAAACTTTTTGAGACAACAAAAATGCTTAGGGCGGTTCTCTGTTGCTCAACAGTTTTTCTGTTGTCTCGTCATCCCTCAAGCTTCACAGTGGGGACCCGGACCCTTGTGGGGCCTGGGCCTGGGCCTGGGGGAGGGCAGAGGAGTGAGGGTGCCTCTCCGCAGGGAGGAGCTGCAGTCAGTGCAGCGGGAGCTGGAGGTGCTCTCGGAGCAGTACTCGCAGAAGTGCCTGGAGAACGCCCACCTGGCCCAGGCGCTGGAGGCCGAGCGGCAGGCCCTGCGGCAGTGCCAGCGCGAGAACCAGGAGCTCAATGCCCATAACCAGGTGAGCCCACAGCCAAGGGAGCCCAGTTTCGAGCGGGGAGCCAGGCCTCTCCAGCGTGTGGGGGGACGCTCACTGCAGGCGGGGAGCTGTGCCAGCCGCTGCAGGAACTGCTGCTTACGCTGGAACTCTGCTCACAGTGTACTGGTGGGGCCGCTGGCTCGCCTTCCGGGGCTCAGGTTCTCCTCCGAGCGCCTCTGAATTTCTGCTTCACCGTCGCTGGGCAGGGCCTGGCAGGGTTATCGCACCGTCTGGGTCTCCTATCCCCAAGGCTCAGACTTGTGTTTAAATGTCTCCCAGTCAAGACCATACACTGCTCACATTTATTTTTGTCAGAGTATTTTCAAAATTTGCCTGCTTCTCAGAAAATTGGAGTACATTTAAAATCCTGGCTAATGGACAGGCTTGAGGTGGGTTAAGTGTGACAAAAGCTCTGTGAGTTCCAAACTGGGGCTCCATCCTCCTGACTCACCACTCATCTCCCCAGGCCAGGGTTCTCAACCTGTGGGTTGCGAACAATGAAAATACATCCTGCATATCAGATATTTACATTAAGATTCATAACATTAGCAAAATTACAGTTATGAAGTAGCAACGAAAATAATTGTATGGTTGGGGGTCACCACAACATGAGGAACTGTATTAAAGGGCCGCGGCGTGAGGAAGGTTGAGAACCACTGCCCCAGGCACTGAGCAGCCATGTGTTGGCCTGGCTCAGGCTCAAGACCTCCACAGGCCCGTGGCCACCGGGTGAGGGCACTCCGACTGGGCTGGTTCCGCCTAGTCACTGCAGTGTCCTGAGATTGAAAGAAGGTACAGGAAATGAGCAGGAGGACCTAATCTTGTAGAGACTCAGTGGGACCAGCCGTGAAACATGAGCACTCCTTACAGTGATACCAGGGCTTCGGGACAATGAGATCCAGCTGCACGGCTCTAAAACACGACCGCGCCCACACGCACAGCCTGACGGGACGGGAGCTGCAGGCTGTGACCCTGCACGTAGTAACTGACATGCAGTCATGTGCACAGGCACTGCTCATGCTGCCTGGTGTTGTGAGGAAAAACCTCTCTTGGTTGTGTTGTGTGACTGCAGCCCCCGAGAATCTGCTGAGCGTCCCTGTTTTGTTGTTGCTATCCCCCAGGAGCTGAACAACCGCCTGGCTGCGGAGATCTCCCGGTTACGGACACTGCTGACAGGGGACGCTGGTGGGGAGGCTGCTGGCTTGCCTCTCACGCAGGGCAAGGATGTCTATGAGTTAGAGGTACTGCTCAGAGCCCCTCTTTGCCCAGCTCTGTACTGCAGAAGCCCCAAGAGGGGACCAAGGAGTGGCCCATAGCTTACAGAATCATTCCAGGCTGAGTCCTGGAGGCAGCAAGAGGGACAGAACATGGAAAGATCCAAATCACCCAGGACAGCAGGAGAAAACAGTTAGCTTCCAGGCAGCATGGGACCCAGGGGAGGGGGGGACCCCTGGAGAGACCAGGGGGCCTTTAACCCCATCCACACTCAACTACCCTCCTCCCTCTGTTTCTGCCACACCTCAAACAGTGACCACCTGAAATGAAACATTTAATAACTATGTGGACACTGTAGCTGTAAAACTCTATTATTCAGGATCAGGTAGGTTCATCTTAAGCTAGAATGATTGATTTTTATGTATCAGACATCCTTTTATGAAAGCACTTAGATTTCTTCCCATTCAATTAAAATTTCATCATGAAAATATCTCCCACTAAATGATGTGGAAGAGGCAGAGTGCATTCAACAAGGTTCCAGCAGGACCCCTTCACGGACCCTCGCAGGCTTAGTCCCAGGAAACTGCAGTGGCCCCCCGGGCTGAGGAAGAGGGTGCCCAGGTCTAGGAGTTGCAGCAATTCTTTTCTTACTATTTCTGTATGTTATCAGTGTTTCAATTTTATTTGCTGGCATTTTCAATTGCAAATTGGTGAGAATGAGAAAAAAATGGTCTACTCCTCAGTGTGTGGAGGGGAGTTCTCTGCTCAACTTTCAGTCTTTTCTCTTTCTTGCTCCTGAATGTCAGTCCCTAATTGCCCTCTCATTCTAGGTTTTATTGCGAGTCAAGGAATCAGAAATACAGTACCTAAAACAGGAGATCAGCTCTCTCAAGGATGAGCTACAAACAGCATTGCGGGTATGGGCACACCGCCACAGGGTTGGGTCTGCAGAATGGGCTGGTGGGGGAGATGTAGGGACACGTGTCTCACAGAGGTCCCTATGCTCAGCAAGTATCTTAGGCTGTTCTAGAGTAGATTTTATTTTCATGAGGAATGTGGTCTGATACTCGAGTTCTCTGAAAAACCAGGCTTCATGCAGGCACCGTAAAAAGGAGGCACCCCCGGTCTTGCTGTGTCCTTGTTCTCCCTACCTTCTTTGTGCTTTGTGGGACGGTGAGACCCGAGAGAGATGTCATCCTGGGAAGTGAGAGTGCGGCCAGCTGCCGTCCCCTCCAGGGCATTCTTGGAATCAGATGAGATGCCAGGATCCCTGACGGAATCTAAGACAGAGGGGGTTCCAGGCTGACGTCATAGGGTGGTCCTTGGGGGTTAGGTTGCAGCCTGCACCCTGCCTGCACCTACAGCAGCCCCGGCGATCCTGTGCTGTGTTCAGAGTGAGTCTCGGCCCTGCCTATTTTAGTTTGTGTCTAGTTTCTGCCTTTGGAAGACCAGGCAGGGCCCACCTGCCAACCTGCCTCCTCCTCTGCTAGTGACATTCCTCAGTCAGTCCCCAGAAGCGTTCCAGCCCCAGCGAGACAGACCTCCTGGCCTGGTTGTCACCACCGTTGGTCTGTCCTTTTCTTCTCAAGGACAAGAAGTATGCCAGTGACAAGTACAAGGACATCTACAAGGAGCTCAGCATCGTGCGGGCAAAGGCCGACTGCGACATCAGCAGGTTGAAAGAGCAGCTGAAAACAGCCACGGAAGCACTGGGTGACAAGTCCCCCGAGAGCACCCCTGTGGCAGGATATGGTGAGCTCTTCCTGCTCTGGGTTGTGACGCGGTCACTTGGGGGCTTTGTTCATAGAGTTACTGGGACTTTAGTCAAAGCAGAGAATTGGTTTTCATTTTTCTGATTTTATTTTTTTAATTAAAGCTTTATTGTTCAGATTATTACATTAGTTACTCTTTTTCCCCACCATAACTCCCCTCCACCCAGTTCCCACCCCACCCTCCGCCCTCACTCCCCACCCACTGTCCTCATCCATAGGTGCACGATTATTATCCAGTCTCTTCCCTCACCCCCACATCCCTTTCCCACCCCCCAAGAATAGTCAGTCCATTCCCTTTCTATGCCCCTGATTCTATTACAATCACCAGTTCATTCTGTTCATCAGATTATTTATTCACTTGATTTTTAGATTCACTTGTTGGTAGATGTGTATTTGTTGTTCATAATTTGTATGTTTACCTTTTTCTTCTTCTTCCTCTTCTTAAAGGATACCTTTCAGCATTTCATATAATACTGGTTTGGTGGTGATGAACTCCTTTAGCTTTTTCTTATCTGTGAAGCTCTTTATCTGACCTTCAATTCTGAATGATAGCTTTGCTGGATAAAGTAGTCTTGGTTGTAGGTTCTTGGCATTCATCACTTTGAATATTTCTTGCCACTCCCTTCTGGCCTGCAAAGTTTCTGTTGAGAAATCAGCTGACAGTCGTATGGGTACTCCCTTGTAGGTAACTGACTGTCTTTCTCTTGCTGCTTTTAGGATTCTCTCTTTGTCTTTTGCTCTTGGCATTTTAATTATGATGTGTCTTGGTGTGGTCCTCTTTGGATTCCTTTTGTTTGAGGTTCTCTGCGCTTCCTGGACTTGTAAGTCTATTTCTTTCACCAGGTAGGGGAAGTTTTCTGTCATTATTTCTTCAAATAGGTTTTCAATATCTTGCTCTCTCTCTTCTCCTGGCACCCCCAATATTTGTATGTTGGTACGCTTGAAGCTGTCCCAGAGGCTCCTTACACTGTCTTTGTATTTTTGGATTCTTTTTTCATTTTGCTTTTCCGGTTGGGTGTTTTTTGCTTCTTCGTATTTCAAATCTTTGACTTGATTCTTGCGATCCTCTGGTCTGCTGTTGGGTCTCTGTATAATATTCTTTATTTCAGTCAGTGTATGCTTAATTTCTAGTTGGTTCTTTATCACAACATCGAGAGTCTCACCAGTCTTCTTGAAGATCTCACTGCATTTATCGGCGGTCTCACCAGTCTTTTCGAGGGCCTTATTAAATTTATCGGCGGCTTCTAGACAGTTCTTTAAAGACCTTAAAAGTGTGGTTTTGAACTCTATATCCAACAGTTTGCTTTCCTCCAATTCTGTCATTTGTGTCCTGTTTCTTTGTCTCGGCATTTTTTATGCTTCGCTGTGTCGATAGAGTGTCTTTCTGTGCTAAGTGTCCCCAATTACCTGAGATAGACACTCTTGGTGCACCCCCTTGTGGGCTTTGTGCACAGTCTTGTTGTAGTTAAGCCTTGATTGTTGTAGTTATCACTGTGAGGAATTGACCTCCAGGCCAATTGCTGTGAGAATCAGCTGTGTCTGCAGTGGGAGAACTTCTGTGCTGGAGACACCCCTCTGGGGCTAGACGTGCTTCGATGGGGCTTTGGTGCTCACTGAGTCTGCCCCCTGAGTGTGTCTTTTATGATTCCACGGAGCTGCAAACTGGATGGTCCCACTCTGACCTCTGGGCTTCCTGGCTCCTGGATCTCTAGGGAGGTGCTAATCTAGCCTTTGCCTGAGGCTATCCAGCAAAAGTCTCCCTGCAGGGCTTGGGCGGGGCAGGTCTCACGGGATCAACAGGGCGGGGTTAGCAATTATGGCTGCTCTTGGCCTTGCCCTCAGAGGTTCTGCTTCTCAGTGTCCCAGTAATCGCTGCAAGCCCCACAGAGAGAAAGCTGCCCTAGGGTTCTGAGCGATGCCAGACAGTCCCGCTTCTCCCGTATGAGTCTGGGTCCTAGAGACTCGCCCGGAACTGGAGCTCAGAGCCTGAGACTCCCTCCCGATTGAAAACGACAACCGCGCCCTCAGCCGCCAGCCCGCTCCGCATGCACTCCGCACCTTAGTATTTTACTTCCGCACTGCGCCCCCTCTGAGTCTCGGTATGTTTTTCTCTTTCCTTCTAGTTGTGGAATTTCCACTCAGCCAGCCTTCCTGTGGTTCTGGATGATGTCCTTCCATCTTTTAGTTGTATTTTTGAAGTGGTTGTTCGAGGCAGCAAACTCCGGTGTTTACCTGCGCCGCCATCTTGGTTTTTCCCCATTTTTCTGATTTTAGACTTATATTTCCTTGCAACAGGGTGCAGCCAGAGGGGTGCTGGTCCGTGGATATGGCCGGTGCCTGTAGGTGCGCTGGTGGCAGGCATTGTACTGACTGCTCTTAGGGGCAGCCACATGGCATTTATTTTTATTGTAATGACATGGTGTGTTTTCCATTTTCCTAACGAACTCAACAGTTTGGTGTAAGAGGCTCCCCCTAATTGCTTGATCTTGGAGTTTTACCATAAAATCTGCAGCAGGCCATGGGAGGAGGAGCCAAGGAGGGTGCTCCCTGCTGAAAAGATGTCCTAGCTCACTAATATCCAAGAAATTTAACTTTTTCCTCTCGTCTACCAAGCATTCATGATAGTGACAGTATTGATGGATGGGTGGAGAGAAGTCACTTGCATTGCTGCTGGAAGGATAAGGTAGCACTTTCTGGAAGGCAGTGAAGCAATATGTAGCAATATTTAAAATCAAACTATAGGCTGACTCTGGGTAGGTAAAGAAATGGTAGCAGTGGCTGCTGCTCAGGGGAGCCCCAGGTAGCCAGGAGACAGAGAAGAGGACTTAGAACTAGGGGAGAATATGTGCATTTGGTGACCTACCAATTTAACTTCTGGAAAAAACAAGTGCATGGCATGTGCCAGCAAGATGTCTAGCACTGTGTACAGGAGCAGACCCTGACTCCCCCGGACAGTCCTCTCCTCAAACAGGGCTCTTCCAGCCATGACGTCACGACACAGTGGAATGCAACGCAGTTCTTAAAGGAGGTCAGGCAAAGGGGCCTCTGGTGAGGATGGTGGCGTAGGTGACTGCGGATCCCCTCCCACACCCATATCAAACACGGCTGAACTACAGAACCGCCTGCAGTTTAACCGAACAGAAGCCCTGTGAATAGAGATAGAAGGACGCCGCATTGAGACCGGGAGGACCCACACCCACTGGTGGCGGTTCAGTATCGGAGGGATATCTCAGTTTTGCAGGTGCCCATGAGGAGTGAGGGGTCCCAGCCCCTCCAGGCTCTCCGACCCAGGGTTCCAGAGCTAGAAAGAGAAGCCTCATAACTTCCAGCCGTGAAAACCAGTGGAGATGGTGGCTGAGTGAGATGGAGGCTGCTCAAGTCCCGAGTATTCTTAAAGGGCCCAGACAGACTTACTCAAACTCACTCACTCTGAACTCCATTGCTGGGGCAGCAGCTCGAACGGTGCCAGGACATATGGGAAGGACCTGAATTGTTTGGCTTTGGGGCTAGAGTTGGAGGGACAGCTTTGTTCCACACAGAACTGCTGGCCGAGGCCATTGTTCCTTAGCTCAGGCCTCCCTCCACAGAGCCGGCAGGCTTGCACCATATCTGAGTTTCCTCGATTTGGCGGTTCCCCTCTCCCGGTGATTCCCTGAGACCCTACCCCACCCCATCTGCAAGTCCACCCTAGCTGTTTCCAGTAGCTTTTCCATAGAAACGGCCTGTTTGGGCTCATGATGCAGACTTTACTAAAGAGTCTCAAAAGTTCACCAACACCAAACAGCAGTATCTGGCCTCACCGTGTCCCATACCTCTTGCTAAGTGGCCCCATGCATGGTACTAGCAACAGCTGGCCTGGCTGTGCAGCGTGGTCTCTCCAGGCACCTCCAAGCCTAGCACAAGCAGTAGCTCTCTGCACATCACTCTACAGCTCATGCCAAGTGGCCCCGGCAGGGCACAGGTGACAGCTGATCTTGACCTGCATGTCCCAGGAGGCCCCAGAGCCAGTGCAGCTGGTAGTTCTCTTAAGACCACACCGTAGCAACACCCTACCATCTCCACAGGCAACACACTCAAGGGGAGGACTCATTAGGCACCAGAACCCTGCTGCAGCAAGTCTCGCTCTGTGGAGTTGGCCCCTGCACAGCAACTCCTCTGCTGTAGTCCCTCCCAGCCAGTCCTCACAGCCCAATCAGAACAGCAAAAAGAAAAAGGAATCCAAAAAAATTAGGATAGTGTAAGCAGCCTCTGGGACAATGTCAAGCATACATCACATCATGGGCGCCAGAGGGGAAGCGAGAGCGAGAGCACACAGAATGGAAAACCTGCTGGAAAAAAGGACAGAAAGCTTCCCCTGCCTGGTGAAGGAAACACACATACAGGTCCAGGAGGCACAGAGAAGCCCCAACAAGATGACTCCAGAGGGGCCCACATCAAGACACACCCATCATTAAAATGCCAGTTGTTAAAGACAAAGAGAATCCTAGAAGCAGCAAGAGAATTAGTTACTTTCAAGGGAGCTCCCATACAACTGTCAGCTGATTTCTCAACAGCAACTTTCCAGGCCAGAAGGGAGAGGCAAAAAATATTCAAAGTGATGAAAAGCAAGAAGCTACAACCAAGATTACTCTACCCAGCAAAGCTCTCATTTCATTTGGAATTGAGGGACAGATAAAGAGCTTCCTAGGCAAGAAAAAGGTAAAGGAGTTCATCACCACCAAACCAATGTTACAAGAAATGTTAAAGGGTCTTCTTTAAGAAGAAAAAAAACTTAAAAGTGTGAGTAATAAAATGGCAATAAATACATACCTATCAATAATTTAAGTACAACTTGATTAAATCAAAAGACATACAGTGACTGAATGGATAACAAAACAAGACCCTTATATATTCTGTCTATAAGAAACTTCAGATTGAATGACACACATACAAACTGAAAATAAAGGTATAGAAAAGCTATTTCATGAAAATGGAAACGAAAAGAAAAAAGCTGTGGTAGCAATACTTATACCAGACATAATAGACTTTAAAACAAAGGCTGTAACAGGAGACAAAGAAGGACCCAGCAAGTCCACTTCTGGGTATTTATCTGAAGAAATACAAAACACTAACTCGAAAAGACATGCATTCAGATGTCTATTGCAGCATTATTTACAGTAGCCAAGCCACGGAAGCAACCTCGGTGTCCATCAGTGGATGAGCAGATAAAGAGGTAGTGCCAACATACAGTGCAATATGACTCAGCCATGAAAAAGAATGGAATCGTGCCATCTGCATCAACACAGATGGACCTAGAGGGTATTATGCTGAATGAAATAAGTCAGACAGAGAAAGTCAAATTCCATATGATTTCACTTATATGTGGAATCTAAAAAATAAATAAATGAATGAATAAACTTAACAGAAACAGACTCATAGATACAGAGACCATTTTGATGGTTGCCAGTTGGGAGATGGGGTTTGGGAGTGGGTGAAAAGGGACGAGATTAAGAAGTACAAATTGGTAGTTACAGGATAGTCACGGGATGTAACGTATAGTATAGAGAAGAGTCAATAATATTGTCATAATTATGCATGGTGACAGATGGGTACTAGATTTATTGAGCTGATCACGTCATAAATTACATAATGTCTGCTGGGTTGAACACCTGAAACATGCAATAATGTACATCAACCAAAGTTAAAAGATAAAAAGATCAGGCAAATCTTTTGTTTTGACATGGACAGAGATCAATAAATATATTTTTAAGAAAAATACACACAAGCCCTGGCCAGTTTGGCTCAGTGGATAGAGTGTCGACCTGCGGAGTGAAAGGTCCCGGATTCGATTCCAATTAGGGGCATGTACCTCGGTTGCAGGCACATCCCCAGTAGGGGGTGTGCAGGAGGCAGCTGATCGATGTTTCTCTCTCATTGATGTTTCTAACTGTCTATCCCTCTCCCCTCCTCTCTGTAAAAAATAAAAAAATTAAAAATTAAAAAAAGAAAAGAAAAATACAAACAAGACATATGGTATGACCCAATGTATATCTGTTTTAAGTAGTCATTTTATTTATTTTTTGTTGTTAATCTTCACCCAAGGATATCTTTTTCTTTTTTTTTAGAGAGAGTAGAAGGGAGGAGAAGTGGGGAGGGAAAGAGAGAGAAACATCGATGTGAGAGAGACACATCAATTGGTTGCCTCCTGCATGTAACCCAACAAGGGCCGGGATCGAACCCGCAACCCAAGTACACGCCGTTGACCAGGAATCAAACCTGTGACTCTTCTGAGTGTGGGCTAACCTCTGAGCAACACTGGCCAGGGCGTAAGTCATCATTTTTAAGAACCCTAAAGAACTGCGCACCAGACTGCCAGTGGTGGTTGTCCTGGAGGAGTGGCTTATGAGAAGGAGTTGGTCCTGGGATCTCAGAAGAAAGGTGGGATAAATGACTAATGGGGACTGTTGGTCTGCTCCTTGGGTCAGGGGCTCCAGAGTGCGGTGTGCCCAGCCCACCCCACATAGCATGGCTTCGCCTGCAGTCAGACCCACGCTGGGAAAAAAATTTTTTTTAAATCCTCGCTCGATATTTTTCCATTTTAGAGAGAGTGGAAGAGAGAGAGAAAAACAGAGAAACACTGATGCGAAAGAAACACATCAACTGGTTGCCTCCTGCATGGGCCTGGAGCAGGGCCAGGGAGGAGCCTGCAACCGAGGTACGTGCCCTTGACTGGAATCGAACCCAGGACCCTTCAGTTTGCAGGCCAATGCTCTATCTACTGAGCCAGACCGGCTAGGACTCAGCCTGGGAAATTTTTAAAGTTCTAGTCTGGTTCCAGAGGGCTCTAGAAAACAAAGTAATGGGTCTACTTGTTCCTTCAGATATAATGAAATCTAAAAGCAACCCTGACTTCTTGAAAAAGGACAGATCCTCTGTCAGTCGGCAACTCAGAAACATCAGGTCCAAGGTGAGTCTGGGACCCAGCCCGGGTGTGTGGGGCTCAAGATGCTGGGAAGAGGAGCAGGAGTCCGAGCCCACGACAGGCGGCAGCAGGGGTCCCCAGGTCCCAGAACGCGCCTAGCCCCCACGATGGCCCTTGCTGGGCCAGTTCTGGTGGCTTCGGGCTTCAGGGGTCCTTTGTGCAGCAGTGGAACCAACTCCTACCGTGACCGTCAAAGGGCCTGGGGTGGAGTAAATCCCACCTTGGACCTCCAGGGCCAGATTCCACCTGTCCCCACCTGTCCCCTCCTGGTGCGGCCCCTCCTGTCTGCAGTTTGTTGCACACTCTAGTTTAGTGCTGACGCTGCCTGCCTTTGAGAAAGGAAGCCGCCTGCACCCTCCCCTCAGCCTCACAGTGCAAATCCCCAGCATCCATTCCCTGCCCCGTGCGCCTCTCCAGGGCAGGGCGGGCAGGGGTGGGAGTTGAGCATGTTGCATTCGGGATTTATTGAGTGTGTCTTACTGTTTGCTCTTTCCTCTGACAGTCCGTAATTGAGCAGGTCTCATGGGATAACTGAAACGAGCCCGCTTCCAGGTCCCTTGTCATGTAGGTAAACCACCTCTCAGCATCCACCCACCCGCCGCCTGCTGAGGGCGCTGCCTGCATGCACGGCTCACACCTCCATAGCAAGCTCCTTGTTCCCTGTGCCTTTATTATTCCTGCTGCCGCAGCGAGCGCAGACACAGTCCCAGGGGCGTGTCTCTGACCTGTTCTGGGAGTTCACTGGCACTATAACCTAAGAGAATTGACCCCGGCACTGGGGAGCTCCCCTCCCAGTGTGGCGAGCGGCCCACAGAGCCAATACTGTGGGGGGCTCGCGCCCGGTCAGCATGCATGCTGAATGCTCTGCGCTCCACACTCTGGAGAACCCTCTTGCCCAGAAGCCATTGCCACACAGTCTCCCCATGCTGCAGAGCCCCCTCTGGCGTACAGCCAGGCCGAGACGGCCTGTGGGGTGTGCGGGGGGAGCTGATCTCAGGTGGAACAGGGACCCAGCTCAGTAGAGCAGGAGGACCACGTGTTCCTGGGGTGCTCTACCAGCACACTTTCTAGCAAAGCAAAAGCTTTTCCCCGGGTCCCGGTAAATACAGTGCCATACAGGGAGGAGGTGGGGAGGCAGGAGACATAGTAGTCTGCTTTGCGATGACCAGGACAGGGGACCCAGCCTGGGCACCCGGTCTTCACAGGAGGGCACATCCCTCGCTCTAGTCTGGAGTGCTCAGTGGCTTGGCTGGTGTAACCTCTTACTCCCTGGTGAGGAGGGCACGGGCAGCAGGAAGACCTGGTCGGGGCCGGGTTCATGGGGACACTGGTGTGGCCTCAGGCCCTGGAGCCAGCGCCTTTGCTGGCTGAGAGGCCCCGCCCGGGCTGGGGAAGAGGCTGCTCCTAGGAAGAGCTTTGGAAAACCCACGTCTGTCAGACTCAGTTTGCTTTTGTTTATTCTTCTACAGTCATGAGCCACTTGGGACCAAATGCAGTTTAGGTTTAATTGAAAACTTAGTTTGGGCTTTTTTATTTAAACATGAAAAATATTTTTTAGCAAAAGGAAAACTTGTTCTTGGTTTATGGTTTTCTCACTGAAGATTCTACTCATTTGAGGCTTAACTGCAGCTGCTAGGTTCCCTGTGCCTGTCAATAATGGGCAACAAGAAGCTTCTGCCAGGCCCTTCTGGGGAAGCGTGCTACGTGTGCCCACCTGGCAGGGTGGGTGGGGTGGGGGGAACCCCTGGGCTCTGGACAAAAGGCCAGAAAATCACTGACAAGGCCTTTGTCCATGAGGCCTTTGCAGCAGGGCACACTGGGAACCTGTCAGGCTGGCCAGGAACTAGCTGTTCGGGCTCCCAGAGCCCGTCTAAGCCCACAGGGGGCTTGGCCGTGTTTTCAGAAAAGGAAGCAGGCCCTTGTGTGAAGGCAGTCCTGCTGCCCAAGAGGAAGGAGGGGCCGTGGGGTGTCCTCGAGGACTCCTGTGGTCCCAGGCACGAGGGCGTGCTGCTCCTCTCCCACGGTTCCCGCTGCTGCATCTGCAGACACCCTACCTCCACGGGCATGATGTCGTCTAGAAACTGCATCTGTCACTGGTGCTTTTGATACGGGATCTGACGTGTATGGATTTATATCTTTCATTCATGCTGTTTCTGCATTGTCCCTCACACAGAAGTGTGACATCTCAGCACCATAAAGTCAAAGCAAGCTTGTTGCTTAAGAACAGCCAGCTTTTCTGGGATTGCAGCTAGAAAGGGCCTTCCCCAGGGGGCCTCATGGAGACCGTCTGGTGGTGTCAGTGTGGGGTCATGGAAGTATCCCACGAAGGATTGGCCCTGTGGGAGAATGAGCCCCAAGAGAGCCAGCACCTGAGGGCCTTCCTCTGGGGTTGGAGATGCACCTTTAACACCTGGAGTGTACACGGTGTGTGGCCTTGGGCCTGCTGTAGCCTCAGGCTGCCCATCATGCTACTGCTCCCTGCCTCCCTGTCCCTAGCACAGCAGGGGCTGTCCCTGGGGTCTGAGGAGTGGCAGTGCACTGTTGCCTCATGGGGAAGTCCCAGCTGGGGCAGAGCTGTGTGGCCAGCACAGCGCCGCCCTGAGACCAGCTCTGCGCACAGCAGCTCCTGACGGGAGAAGAGCATGAGAGCAGGAAGCCCGGGTCGGGTGGGATGTGGGTCGGTCCTCCCCCTCTGCCCTGCTCAGGGGCCACTTTAGGGCCCTCACCACTGCTCACGCAGAGGCCCGTCTGGACAGTGAGTTGCAGAAAGGTCAGCAGCAGCACCCTTCACTTAAAAGAAAATCACTCATTTCCACAGACACAGATCCACAGGGTAGCAGCATGCAGAGCTGTTCTGGGCAAAACTGAGGGGACAGCAGGGCCCACTCACTCCCTCGAACTCTGGAGGAAGCTGGGTCCCCAGATTCTCACCACACCCCTCTGAAGCTTCAGGCTGGACTCTCCAGGCCCCAGGACCCGCCCGGTTCTGGCTGAAGCTGGTGCGCTCACCTGCACCTGCGCCGGGCCAACTGGGCTCCTGTCTTGTGAGGCCTGGGCTTTGTCACCTCCAGCCAGGGAGCTGGGAAACGGCAGCTCTGGGCCTGATGAGGTTTGCGGCCAGATCAGAGGGCAGCTGAGGAGCCCAGCCCATCTCGCCGGGGCTAGAACTCCATCCCTTTCCTCATCCAGAAATTAAATCTTTGGGGAAAGCCTCCAAGAGTAGTGTCACTCACATGAGGCCCCACAGATGGACACTTCCCCAGGGTCCCACAAGAAGGGTATTGGCTTCACAGTTGAGAATCTTAGTAGCTATGTTGACATGCTCCCCGATCCCTCGATAGTACATGCAGCAGGGTTCCCCTCAGGGAGGGCGAGGAGCCGCGCTCCACCGTGGTGACCCAGAGGCTCTGGTCGTCCCGCACGAGGCCTTGGTAGACGGCAGGTTCACGGTCGGGAGAAGGATGTAGACGGGTGGTTTTCTAGTTCTTGGCACAATCTTTTCCTGGCTGAATCGGTCTGATCGCTGCTTCTCTAAAGAGCCCTAAGCTCAGAATTCATCTTCTATGCTCATGGACTTGTTTTTCTGATTTTTTTTCCTTTCTCATCCAGATAACACATCTCACAGGAGACGGGCTCTCCTTAGCATGCCCCACTAATCTCTGAGGACCTCCCTACCCCACCCCTGCCTGTGCTGCGGCTGGCACCCAGCACAGGGGCTGAGCTTAACTGTTTTCTCCTGCTCTCCACCCAGAGTCTGAAGGAAGGCCTGACGGTGCAGGAACGCCTGAAGCTCTTTGAATCCAGGGACTTGAAGAAAGATTGACTGTGTCCCGTTCAATTTGAACACACACCCTTCCCAGCTTGGGGCTGCACAACCCGAATGCTACTTTCCGTCTGTACCTTTACTTTTTATTATTATTGTTATTATTGTCATTGTTGACTGTGGGTATGGATGCATGAGAGACAGGTTTATGGGTTGTTCACGCTGTTTCCTGCTGTGTTGATGGACCTTCCTGTTGTCTTTACCCACGCTTGTTTCCATGGCGATTTACAGTAAGCCGAGGGGTGGAGAGCTGGCTCTGTGTTGGAATCCCTTCCCACTGTGGCCCCCTCCCTCCCTCATGTCAGTATTAAGGCCCGGCAGCCGATAGATAAGCTAGCTCTGCCTCGTGAGCTGCGCGCACTGCGCACGGCCCGCTCTGCCGCACGCTGGTCGCTTGTGGGGGACAGCACTGGGCTGTGGTGTGGCTGGGTCGCTGGCCTGCAGGAGCGGGGCAGCCGGGTGCGGTGTGTGGCCTTGGCTCCACCTGTGAGCTTGGGAGGAGGCCAGCATTTGGTATCCGTCCCACGGATGCAGCTAGCTAGAACCACACCTGGGTGTTTGTGGTAAACTTTTCACAACCTTGAAGATGTCGGAACAGCTTTTCCTGGTTTTGTCTGTTTTTTATTAAATCTGGCACAAAACCCCACCCTCTCATTCCTTCCTACGCTCACTCTTTCCTTGGTCACCAGTCACCCTGTCTCCATAACTAGTTAGCTTGTGGACCTGTGGCCTGGGGTTTCAGACTGCAAGTGCAAATAATGATGAATTCCCTCTGAAAAGAAACCTCAGATGGCTTTGGAAAAGGCTAAGAGAAGACCCCTCTGTTAAGTCAGGAAGAAAGTGCAGAGGATGTCAAAATCAGATGGAAATTGCCCGTTTTGTGTTCTTAACTCTAATTTAATTAATCTAAGGTCTGAAGAGTTCCCTTTTAGCATTTAGAAAACCTAAAGTAAACCTATACTAATAGTTCTGTTTTTTAACAAGTTGAGTAAGACCTTTTTAACTACCACAAAACACTCTACAGCAGTGGTCGCCAACCTTTCGAACCTCCCGGACCCCCAGTGGTCCGCAGCACTTCTTGAAAAGATCGTAAATTGGAGTTTCTATTATGGACCCATGAAAACCATTAGCCCTAAGATGAGGAGTATAAAACCAGGCGGGACCACTGCTGCCTTAGGAGCAAGGTGGGTCGCTGGGGTGGAGCAGGGCGCTGCCTCACGGCTGGGATCCGAGGCCAAGAGCCTGCTTTCGCTCTCTTCATGCTCGAGCTGGGCTGATGGTCTCTGGGTGCACAGAGGCTTGGGGGTCATTGTAGAGATCATCTTGCTCAGTTTCTAGATTAAAGGAGTGAGCCAGCTCATCTGGGAAGAGTCCCGAGAAGGCCCTGGTCAAGAGCCCTCGTGTGTGTCCTCTCACACGATAGACTCGGAGCTCTCTGCTGGCATGAGTCTGCCCTGCTCTCCTTTTAAGAGTCTTAACCCAAACCTGTCGCTCCCTTGCTACTGTTCCATGTTTTTAAAAGTAAGAGAATGTAGCTCTGTTTCCTAATCCTACTTACCAACATCCCTTGGGACGCAGATTCAGGGTGTTTTTATAAAGGATTGTGACTTTCTGTGTCACGTGCAGGATTCCTGGAGTGCACAGAACTATGGGGACCCCTGTTTCCACGCACATCCTGGCTCTGCAGGCCGACTGGGCACTGTGGCTTCATGGCCTTCCTTCAGAGAACTCGCCCCGAGGTTCTGGGCAGGTCACGCATGGAGTCCAGCTCCCTCTGCCTTCAGTCTGTGCTGGGAAGGTCTGAAATCTGTGATGCTTTTGAACAGGTCCAACGAGCATTCACTTCACTCATTTGTCCCTTGAGGTTAGGTCTCGGGAATCCTGGGAAGCAAACGTGTTGAGTGCAGCATTTGGGAGTCAAAGGCAGAGGCCAGGGAAGCCCTCTGGTCACTGCGGCCTCTGTAAGGGACCCTCCTGCTCACCCACTTGCTCTCCTGGGCCTGGTTCGAGCTGGAGTTACCAGGAAACAGGCTGGGAATGCTCAGCTGGCTGAGAAGCTGTCTCCTCTAACACAGGCTGGTCCCGCTGCAGCCTCCCACAGAGAGTGCGAGCTGCCTTGGCCTCGCTGAGTGTCCGTCCATAGTGACAACTGCGGTCAGGCCGAGCCAGGTCTGAGCCTCCTGCTGCTCGGTCCTGCTCTCCAACTGGAGAGCGCGCAGGACGGGAGCAAAGTGGCCTCACTCCGGCCTGTGTGTCCCCGGGCCCTGCCGCCAGCTCCGCTATACAATGCCCTCTATGTGCTCCCTGCAGGCACCAACCCCCAGGAAGAGTTCAGCCACCTAACCACTGAGGAAAGGAGCAGTGTGGAGGCAGGCCGCCCACAGGGGCTGTGGAGGGGGAGTGGGGGATTGGGAGCCCGCTGCTCTGGGCTTCTGCTCCCAGCACGAACCAAGCAGTGGGAGTGTCCACACTTTCCCAGGAAGGAAAAGGAGACCACGGGCCAGCTCCTCTCAGCTGTTAACTGTTCTCCTATACATGTGCACCCTCACCTGTGATCTGTGAGCACCTTGAACATGCTGTGACAATCTCGTTAGTGGGAAACGTGTGACTGTAACAGACAGGTGTGCGAACACTCGCGTTAACTACAGGAGCACATGCGGCGGGCCCTTCAGGCCTGGCCTGCGTGACGCCGGGCGCCCTGCAGCCTCCGGGCAGCAGTGGAGCTGAGGCGGCAGAGAGCACTCTGCCACTCGAAATGGAGCTTGTGCACCAACGTGGCAGAAATGAGTTTGAATTTGTGGCAGGAAGTGGTGGCAGCCCTGGAGTGACAGGCGGCAGCCATGGTGGGAAAATGTGGGTTTGTCAAGAGCTAAGATCAGAAGCCCCTCCTTATGAGTCCGGCAAGTGGAAAGGCAGGGAGAGCCGGGAAGGGCCCCAGGCTCTGGCTGGTGACATGGAAGTTGTCACGCCACAGCGCCCAGACCTAGGCACTCACTGACCCAGCATCTGGGCACTGGGACCCGCACAGGCCACACACAGGAAGAGGGGACTGCAGTTTTTTAAAAACACAGTTGTGACTCTCAGTCTGCCTGAAAGAAATAAGGCCAGGAAACAAAATGGGCTTGAAAAGTACTTTGCATGGAGATGCATTTCTAATAACCACAGAGGCAGATGGAGCCCTGAGAGGGAGCACGGTCCTTCCTGTCCCTGCTGCCGGGTGGTCCCCTCAGCAAGTCTGTGTTAGACTCATCCCGAGGGTGAGCAGCACAGTGCCAGCCTGCCCCGCAGCGCCTGGAGGCTGGGCGCCACCCGTGGCCTTTTCTCAGCTACACGTGACAAGGCGAGCTGGGTCGCTGCCAGCCCAGCGAGGAAGGTGCTGCGGGCACCCAGAGTGTCCCGGCAGGCAGTGTGCCTCGGAGGAAAGGTTTCTTTTCTCCCTCATTGCTGTAACAATGGCTCCTACAGCCCAGGGCCCTTCAGCCTCGCAGCTTACAAGCAGGGCCTGTGGCCTGACTGCGGGGAGGTGTAGGGGTTGTCTTTTCTGTTCCCTACCCGCTGACGCCTGCGTGATGCCTTCATGGCTAACCCCATCCTCCGCCACTCCCTTCCGGTGTGTCTGTGTCTAAGACAGTTCTTCAGGGATTCAAAGCTGTTTTCAGTTAGAGTGAAAAGAATGCAACCCATCAACATTTATTTTTCCTGAAAATAAAATTTTCTCATCGTTGTCCTAAGGAGCCTTAGAATTTAACATTTCCCTTTATAGACACAATTTCAAAAAACAGAGTTCAGTGACACCTCTTTATCACCAAAGGAAGGAGAAGGGAATTTAAGTATTTTCAGAGTTTTACAAAGGAGATGGAAGTATGTAGTATTATACATAAAAAGGTTATTTCATAGGAAACTTGACATAAACCCAATATGGAAACTCACACGTCAGTTTCTATCAAGTTCTGCCTTCTGGGAAAGACCCGGGCAGAACTTTTTCCCTTTTGAGAACCTAAGTTTCACGTATTCTTGCTTCTCTATAAAGTGCAGAGGCCTACCTCCTCTGAAGTCTTTCAACAGAAAGCAGAATAGCTCAACACGACCACCCTGTGGGGGGCCCATCGAGCCCCCTCTCCTGTAGGTGCTCACGCAGGACTGTGTGACGACCTAAGCCCAGTGTGGCTCCAGTTTCCTTGTTTTAAAGCAGCTGTCTTTGTCTTCAAATAACCTGTGCATTATTCAGAGCAAGCAGTGTAAATACTCACTCAGAAGCTACTATAGGAATTTTTGTGACAAAAAGAGGTGTCTGTATACAGCTAAGCAACATCACACTTGAAGATAGCGAGAACAGCTTTGGACAGCATTGAACCCCACCCGACATTTCGCTTTTAATGACTTTCTCAAAGCTTTGGTCATTGAACAGGTGGTTTTAAAGGCTGTATACAGTATCTGCAATAATGATGACCCTGCACCCAAACATTGTTTTTCATTAAAAACTCTGTAATACTTGTTCTTGGTAGAGCTATTGAAAATCCTGGAGGAAAATCAGAATAAAGAGCATGGTAGTTCCATCTTGACCAGATCCTTCTATGCAGTAACTTCAGACTTGTAGGGAGACAGTCTGGCCTCAGGCTCTGCACACAGCAGGGCTGCGTGCAGGGTCCTGCCGAGTGGGACCCTGGATTTTCCCAGCTCTTGGGTTGCATGAAGGGTGCAAACCCATAACACTGATATTTTGTAATACACGTCTATGTCAAATAGGTAAGGGAACATTTAGTCATAAAATACTTAAGAATTAGATGGTCCAGTGCAGGAGAACGTTGAAGTCTCAGGTAAACAACAGCTGGTCTCCAGTTGCAGTCTTGCGGGGGCCCTGCCAGGCAGATGTGAGCGCACAGTGAAGGACCACCAGACACCAGCCCGCCTGCTGCCTTCACGGTTCCCACACCCTTTGCTCTTTCCCCCTTTACAACTAGTTATGTCACATATTTCAGTTTTATTTTATAGAAAGCTAGGAATAGATTAAGAACACTAAATTATTGTGTTATGTTTATATCACAAAACTTCAATTAAAATGGATTTTAGGATTTACCTTTAGTATTTACAACATATCTACTGACTTTTTGTTAGGATTCAAACTGGTTAAGTGATAAGAATTAATTCATATGGTTTCCTAAGTAATATTTATAAAATGTAAAGTTTCTAAGTGGTTCCTCAATAATTATAATTAGTGATTTTTCTATCAGGGTAAATGTCTCAATTCAGCTACTAAAGACAAAAACATACTATGCTAAACTGCTGGGAGAGCTGATACACGAACAAAGTGAAAACTGTACATAATTTTTCAGCTAAGGAGTTTGGAAATAAATCACAGCAGTCACTTCTGTCACTGCTAATTATTTCAACAGTTAGGTGATACATGTTTAAAGAACAAACTTGTGTAATTTTAACTGGTGTTGAATTTCTGTACTAATGCTAAATGATAATGTTCACCCGACTAAAAGTCACATGTGGAAGAGAGCAGGGGCCTACGCGGCCCAGGTGACCACACACATCGAGGCTCCACCGGAGACCTGGGCGGAGGCAGCCCCGGAAGCAGACGCCCTCAGAGTGGGTCACCACCTGTCAGGCTGTCGAGTCTGGAAGAGGAGAGCCTGGTCAGTGAGGCTGCTCTGTTTTGACAATTCAAAATTTTATGGTTCAGTTTGAGGCTTTAAAAAAAAAAGTTTCTGATCAACTTTCACTACAACTGAAGTATTACTTTGTCAAAATATTTATTCCTTTGTGTGACATGCTAGATTCCTATGGATATAGCTGGTCATTTCTATTTTGTAAATACTACCTAACTTTACATAAACTATATCATAATAAACTATTTTTGCATCACCCTTTGCATGCTGTGAATGAGGTTTTGTTTAATGGAGAGACAGACGCAAGTTAGATTTCATATAAAAATCCAGTTTCATATGTTCAACAAGTTTTCAGAATACAAGATTCATACCAAAAATTAATTTATTTCTATACACTAGTGATCTATAAAATTAAGAATGCGATTCCATTTGTGATATCAAAAAAAAAATTTTTTTAAGTAAGACTTGTACACTGAAAACTACAAAACATTAAAGAAAGATTTAAATGGAAAGGCGTCCCATATTCATGGATTGGAAGACAAAATTATTGTTAGAATGGCAATACTCCCTAATTTGATCTACAGATTCAACATAATCCCTATCAAAATCCCAGCTGCTTTTGCAGAAATTGATCAGCTGATCCTAAGATTCATATGGAAATATAAGAGGATCCAAAAAGCAAAAACAATGATGGAAAAGAACAAAGAACTCTCATGTTACTGGGTTTCAAAACTTACAGTTTCAGTAATTGAGACAGTGATTATGGATTGGCAATGGAACAGAATTGAGTATCCAGAAATAAGCCCTTACATTTATGGCTAATTGATTTTCAACAAGGTTGCTAAGAACATTCAGTGGAGAAAGAGTAATTTTTTCAACAAATGGTACTGAGACAACTAGCTATCCACATGTGAAAGAATAGAGTTGGACTCCCTAAAGTCAGACCATACACACAAATTAACTCAAAATTGATCTAAATATAAGAGCTCAGAGTCTAAGATTCTTAGGTTTCGGAAAAATTAGGAGCAAATATTTGTGACCTTGGGTTGGGCAATGGTTTCTTAGATATGGCACCAAAAGTAAAAACATAAATTGAATTATATCAAAGTTAATAACATGTTGCAGGGATCACAATACTGGATATTAAGCTATACTACAAAGCCACTGTAATCAAAACAGCCTATTACTGGCACAAGAATGCATACAGATCAATGAACAGAACAGAGAGCCTAGAAATCAACCCATGCTTTTATGGTAAATTAATATGTGACAAAGGAGGCAAGAGCATACAATGAAGCAAAAACAGTCTCTTCAATAAATGGTATTGGGAAAATTGGACAAGTATGTGCAAAAAAATGCACCTAGATCACCAATTTACACCATACACAAGAATAAACTCAAAATGGGTAAAAGATAAATATAAGTCAAAATCATAAAAATCATAGAAGAAAACATAGGCGGTAAAATCTCAGACATCTCTCAGAGCAATATTTTTGCCAATATGTCTGAAGGCAAGGGAAATATATGGGAAAATAAACAAATGGAACTACATCAAACTAAAAAGCTTCTGCACAGCAAAAGACACCAAAAAGGGAACCCATGGTATGGAAGGACATATCTGCCACTGACTCCTCTGATAAGGGGTTAATCTCTAAAATATATAAAGAACTATTATAAGTCAACACCAGGAAGACGAACAATCCAATTTTTAAAAATGGGCAACGGACTTGAATAGACACTTCTCCAAAGAGGACATACAGATGGCCAATAGACATATGAAAAAATGCTTAACACGTCACTAATCATTAAAGAGATGCAAATTAAAACTACACTGAGGTATCACCTCACACCTGTCAGAATGGCTACTATCAATAAATCAACAAACAAGTGCTGGCAAGGATGTGGAAAACAGGGAACCATAGTGCACTGCTGGTGGGAATGCAGACTGGTGCAGCCACTGTGGAAAAACAATATGGAGTTTACTCAAAAATTTTTAAATGGAACTCCCATTCAACCCAGTGATCCCTCTTCGGGGAAAATATGCTAAGAATCCCTAAACACCAATCAGAAAGAATGTATGCACCCCTATGTTCATAGCAGTGTTATTTACAATAGCCAAAATCTGGAAACAGCCTAAGTGCCCATCAGCAGACAAGTGGATTAAAAGGCTGTGGTACATCTACACAATGGAATCCTATGCTGCTATCAAAAAGAAGGATCTCTTATCCTTTGGAACAGCATGAGGGACCTGGAGAGCATTATGCTAAGCTAAATAAGCCAGTGAGAGGAAAGACAAACACCACATGATCTCACTCATGTGGAATCTAATGAACAAAATAAACCGATGAACAAAATAGATCCAGTGGCATACATGGAACAGACTGACAGATGGCAGAGGGGAAGGGGCTGGGAGGACTAAAGAAAGGAAGGGGAAGGGATTAGCTAAAGAACATACATATGCATAGCATTGGACAAGACAATAATATGGTGAGGGCCAAGGTGGGGAGCAGGGCTGGGTGGAGGTGGGCAAGGCAGGGTGGGGGTGGGGGCACAAATTGGGGACATCTGTAATAGTGTCAGTATAAAATTTAAATTAAAAAATTAACATGCTGCAAACTATCAATCAGAGAAAATATTTACAAATCATATTTCCCATAAGGGACTTGTATCCAGAATATACAAAGAACTCTTGTAACTCAACTACAAAAAGGCAACCCAGTGAAAAAATGGGCAGAGAACACACACGAATAGACATTTCTCCAAAGACAATATATAAATGACCAGTAGGTACATGAAAAGATGCTCACTATCATTAGTCATCAGAAAATGCAAGTCAGAACCACAATAGACAGCGCCTCAGAGGCTGGTGATGATTGAAGTCAGATACCTTTTTGTTGGTGAGGATGCGGAGAAAAAGAAACCCTCACACAGTGCAGGTGGGGAGGCACGTAAAATGGTCCAGCTGCTTTGGAAAACAGGCTGGCAGTTCCTCAAGGGGTTAAACAGTTATATGCTCCAACAATGCCACTCAAGAGAAATGAAGAAATGTCCACCAATGTGAATGTTTATAACATCATTTGTAATAGCCAAAAGGTGGGAATAACCCAAATGTCCAACTGATGAATGGGCAAACAAAATGCACACCCACAGAATTGAGTATTTTCAGCTATAAGTACTGACACGCTACAACACGGTGAGCGAAAAAAGGCAGATACCAAGTGCCACATATTGATAGTCCTGTTTCTATGAAATCTCCAGAGCAGGTAAACCCAGAGACAGGAAGCAGACCAGTGTTGCCAGGGGCTGGGTCAGAGGGAATGGAGAGAGACTACTAATGAGGCAGTTTCGGGGTTCATGAAAGTGTTTGGTTGCACATCTCTGTTAAATACTAAAAACCACTGAATTGCATGCTTTAAAAGGATGCATTTTATGAATCTCAGTGAAGAATATATAAATCTCAATGAAGTGTCATTTTATTTTTATTTTTTTTATTTTTTATTTTAATTAAATCTTTATTGTTCAGATCATTACATTTGTTCCTCTTTTTTCCCCCCATAACTCCCCTCCTCCCAGTTCCCGCCCCACCCTCCCCCCTCACTCCCCACCCACAATGCCACTGTCCTCATCCATAGGTGCACAATTTTTGTCCAGTCTCTTCCCGAATCTCCCACACCCCTTTCCCCCCCAAGAATAGTCAGTCCATTCCCTTTCTATGTCCCTGATTCTATTATAATCACCAGTTCATTCTGTTCATCAGATTATTTATTCACTTGATTCTTAGATTCACTTGTTGATAGATGCATATTTGTTGTTCATGATTTGTATCTTTACCTTTTTCTTCCTCTTCCTCTTCTTAAAGGATACCTTTCAGCATTTCATATAATCCTGGTTTGGTGGTGATGAACTCCTTTAGCTTTTCCTTATCTGTGAAGCTCTCTATCTGACCTTCAATTCTGAATGATAGCTTTGCTGGATAAAGTAATCTTGGTTGTAGGTTCTTGGTATTCATCACTTTGAATATTTCTTGCCACTCCCTTCTGGCCTGCAAAGTTTCTGTTGAGAAATCAGCTGACAGTCGTATGGGTATTCCCTTGTAGGTAACTGAGTTTCTTTCTCTTGCTGTTTTTAAGATTCTCTCTTTATCTTTTGCTCTTGGCATTTTAATTATGATGTGTCTAGGTGTGGTCCTCTTTGGATTCCTTTTGTTTGGGGTTCTCCGCGCTTCTTGGACCTGTAAGTCCATTTCTTTCACCAGGTGGGGGAAGTTTTCTGTCATTATTTCTTCAAATAGGTTTTCAATATCTTGCTCTCTCTCATCTTCTGGCACCCCTATAATTCTGATGTTGGTACGCTTGAAGCTGTCCCAGAGGCTCCTTACACTATCCTCGCATTTTTGGATTCTTTTTTCATTCCGCCCCTCCGGTTGGGTGTTTTTTGCTTCCTCGCATTTCAAATCATTGACTTGATTCTTGCGCTCCTCTGGTCTGCTGTCGGGAGTCTGTGTAATATTCGTTATTTCAGTCCGTGTATGCTTAATTTCTAGTTGGTTCCCCAATATAACATCGAGGGTCTCATTAGTTTCTTGTAGATCTCATTAAGTTTATCGGCGGCTTCTAAACAGTTCTTGAGAGACCTTAAAAGTGTGGTTCCATTGACAATTTTGTCCTGTTTCTTTGTCTCTGCATTTTGTTATGCTTTCTTGGTGCACCCCCTAGTGGTCTTTGTGCGCAGTCTTGTAGTTAAGCCTTGATTGTTGTAGCTAATACCAGGGAGGGTTTGACCTCCAGGCCAAGTGGCTGTGAGAATCAGCTGTGTCTGCAGTGAGAGAACTTCTGTCCTCTAGGGAGGTGCTAATCTAGCCTTTGCCTGAGGCTATCCGGCAAATGCCTCTGTGCAGGGCTTGGGCGGGGCGGGTCGCACAGGATCAACAGGGTAGGCCGGAGAGAGCAGTTATGGCGGCTCTCAGTCCTGTCCCCAGGGGCTCTGCCTCTCTGAGTCCCAGCAACCGCTGCAAACCTCGGAGAGAAAGCTGCACTCGCTCTGACCGAAGCCAGACAGTCCCACTTCTCCCGTTTGAGTCTGGGTCCCTAAAGACTCGCCCGTATCTGGAGCTCAGAGTCTGCGACTCCCTCCCGATTGAAAACGCCAACCGCGCCCTCCGCCGCCAGCCCGCTCCGCGCACTCCGCACCTCAGAATTTGACTTCAGCACTGCGCCTCCTCTGGGTGTCCGTATGCGTTTCTCTTTCCTCCTAGTTGTAGG